TGCATTCTGTTTCACCAATCCCATGTGCACAGGTAAATTCCCCTGCTGTAAGTCACCACTCCCATTTTTATGCATCCAAGGATTGCATCAGTCCTTACGGCCACAGCATCTCACTGGGAGCTCCCAAGTTGGTTTTACACAATGATTTCTAAATCCTGAATACTGAATAGCATCGGGCCTAGAACTGATCCCTGCAGAACCCCACTAGAAAAAGCCCCATTTACTGAAAGTGGCCCAATGACAAATGCTTTCTGAGATCTGCGAGTTAGCTAGTTTTCAATCCATTTTATGTGTGCTCTACTGATATTATAGAGTGTTAATTATTTTATCTCAATGTTTTCCCTTAATAAATCAAATGCCTTAGAAAAATCAAAATGTATTGCATCTGCACAGTTCCCTTGATCAGCCAAACATTTATTCTAAAAAATGGATGAAATCAGGTTTATCTGACAAAACCGGTTTTACATAAACCTTGTTGTTGACTGGCATTACTTATATTCCAATAACTTTTTTCTTGAACTAATCCCATACCAGCTTTTCCATTGTTTCCTAATCTTTTCAAATATTTTTTTAATCTTTACCTTAATTTTTGTAATAGTTTACATTTAACACAGGAATTATTCTAAAACTTGTCTAGGATTCCTTTTGCTTTTAATATAATTAATAACCTCCTTGATGTGATCCTTAGCTCTGCCAACCATGGATTTTTCCCTGATGTCTTTAACATCCCATATCAATTTTCATAACTTCCAAATTATATTGCTGGCTATCTATTTTCCCTTTCTCCCATTTGTTATATATAGCTTCCCTTCGCCCATAATTTCTACTCTCTTTGCAACTGAACTGAGTTTTCAGCAAAAGTTGTCCACTTTCTTGACTGTGGAATTGTGACTTTTTCGCTATCTAATAATCTCTTCTTAAAGAACTCCCAATTTACATTCCATTTTTTTGTGTCTAAATTTTTCCTCGCAATCAGTTTTGCTGATAGTTTTCCTCAACTTTGGAGAACTAGAGATTTTGAAGCACTAAGTGTCTATAGATAGTATTGGTTGGGAACTCTTCTCTTTTTGTCCATTTGAATGTAATCAGTTCCATTCCTTATTTCCCTCTCCTCTGACATATGCCCCCTTGTTCATCTCTTCTCCAAACTAAACAGGCCCAGACTTTTCAGTCTGTCCGCATATGGCAGCTTCCCCATTGTTATTGCCTGTCTCGGAAATCCCCTTTATGTTTGCTATATTCTTTATAGAGACCAAGTGCCTAAAACTGAGCACATATCCAGAGCAGGTTATTCTCTATCCCATTCCTTTGGCATCTGAAAATTGTGTTTCTTTTGCCCACTGCTGTGACTGAGCAGGTATTTCACTTGAGCTGGTACAAATGACACCCAGGTCTTTTCCCTGAGCAATGTTCTAGATGGGATGTTTACCCCGGCACATGTCTCGCCAAAGATTTGGTTTTTTTCCACTTTCAGATTTTGATCAACAAGATGAATTGGGAACTCCCAACATCTTGGATTCTGTAGCCTGGGTTTAATTGCATTAAGGAACAATGATGGATAACCAGTATCCACACTCCTCTTTCTTGATGGTGCCTCTAAAGGTATTCCAACCCTGACAGGTAGGAATTATTGACTCACGGAGAATCATAAAATATTGAATTGGCATTAGTTGGGTCAGGTGTTCATAATTCATTTATCTGAATAATGAAAATGTCATTTTTCAGTGTGTGAAGAGCCACCAATCTGCTTTACCCATGAGAATAGCCTCCAGTAGTGCATGTAGTTTCTCGTATTAACATTGTCTCTCCATCCAGGCATTTGTACTGCAACCATCATTCTAGACCCTGGGCACATACAGGAAGTCAGGGGAACGTAAGGTACAGGCAAGAGACTCTATTCCGCCTCAGAACTGGACACCTTCTCCCCTAATCCATGTCAAATTTGAATACAACCAATTTCACTAACCCTTCCACCTTCATCCTGCTGGGCATTCCTGGCCTGGAGGCTGCCCATGTCTGGATCTCCATCCTTTTCTGCACCATGTACGGCATAGCAGTCTTGGGGAACTTCACCATCCTGTTCATTGTGAAGATGTAACCGAACCTCCATGAGCCCATGTACTATTTCCTCTGCATGCTGGCCATCAGTGACCTGGTCCTGTCCACGTCCACCCTGCCCAAAATGCTGAGCATCTTCTGGTTCAATTCCAGGGAGATTGATTTCAATGCCTGCCTCACTCAGATGTACTTCATTCACTGCTTCTCGGTGATGGAATCTGGGATCTTCGTGGCCATGGCTTTTGATCGCTATGTGGCCATCTGTGATCCCCTGAGACATTCCACCATCCTGACGAACCGCATGGTGGCGAAGATTGGCCTGGCCGTGGTGCTGCGTGGCTGTTTACTTGTACTGCCATATCCCTTGCTGGCGAGTCGGTGGCCATATTGCAAGACCAACATCATCCCCCACACATACTGCAAGCACATCTCTGTGGTGAATCTGGCCTGCGCCGACATCCGTGCCAGTAGTTACTACAGCCTCTCTGTGACATTCTTTGTGCCCAGTGTGGATGTGTTTTTTATTGCTCTGTCCTATATCCAGATCCTCAGGGCCATCTTCAGCCTGCCCACAAAGGACGCCCGGCTCAAGACATTTGGGACCTGTGGCTCCCACCTCTGTTCCATCTTAGTCAGTTACATACCAGATCTCTTCTCCTCCCTTACGCACCATTTTGGCGATGAAGTGCCCCTACATTTTCTTGTTTTCATTGCCAATGTGCACCTCCTTGTGCCCCCTTTGGCACACCCCATCATCTATGGGATGAGGATCAAACAGATCTGGGACAGGTTGCTCTGGCTATTTACTCATAAGAACAGAAGAATGGCCAGACTGGGTCAGACCAAAGGTCCATCTAGCCCAGTCTCCTGTCTTCCGACAGTGGCCAGTGCCAGGTGCCCCAGAGGGAATGAACAGAACAGGGCATCATCAAGTGATCCATCCCCTGTTGCCCATTCCCAGCTTCTGGCAAAAAAAGGCTAGGGACACCATCCCTGCCCATCCTGGCTAATAGCCGATGATGGACATATCCTCCATGACTTTATCTAGTTCTTTTTTGAAAACTTTTATAGTCTTGGCCTTCGTCCTCTGGCATGAGTTCCAAAGGTTGACTGTGCATTGTGTGAAGAAATACTTCCTTTGATTTGTTTTAAACCTGCTGCCTATTAAAAGCTCTGCAAAAAGCTGGCTGATGACATCATGCTGGGCCCTGTTACTTGAATCACTTACTGGACAGTCAAAGAGACACTAAACTCTTTCCTTACCTTACTGTGCTGTGTCAGTGTGACAAACTGGGGAATCGGTCTATGTACAACCCATTCAGTAGCCACCATTCTTATTACTTGTAACTGGACCCCCAAGCCCCCCCCCTTTGCCACTCCTTCCACGAAGGCCCCATCCCTGCTCTACCTCTTCCCTGCAAGACCTCCCTGACGCTTGCTCCTCTCCTCTCCTCCCCTCCCCTCTCCTAGTCACTTGCTGAATGAACAGAACAGGTAATCATCAAGTGATTCCTGCCCTGTCTCCCACTCTCAGCTGCTGGTAAACACAGGCGAGGGACACCATCCCTGTCCATCCTGGGTAATAGGCACTGATTGACCTATCCTCCATGAACTTATCTAGTTATTTTTAGAAACCCTTTATAGTCTTGGTTCTCACTATATCCTCTGGCAAGTAGTTCCACCGGTTGACTGTTGTCTTATTTGAAAGCATAAATAACATTTCCTTATTCAATTCCCCCCCGCTTCATAATTTTATAGATCTCTCTCATATTACCACCAGTCGTCTCTTTTCCAAGCTGAAGATACACAGTCTTTTTAATCTCTCCTCTTTCGGAAGCTGTTCCATACTCCTAATAATTTTTATTGCCCTTTTCTGTAACTTTTCCAATTCTAATATACCTTTTTTCAGGTTGGGCTATCAGATATGCATGCAATATTCAACGTGTTGGTGTACAATGGGTTTATCTAGAGGTAATACGATTTTTTTTTGTATTTTTATATATTAATGGAATTAATTGGCCACTGATTTAAAACAGAGGAAAGGAATTATTCACACAATTCAGGGTTAACCTCTGGAACTCCTTGCCAGAGGATGTTCTGAAGGCCAATACAATAACAGTGTTCAAAAAAGTAATAGATAAATACATGAAAGATAAGTCCATCAATGACTATATGCCAGGATGGGAAGGGGTGATGTCCCAAACTCTGTTTGCCAGAAGCTGAGAATTGGTGACATGGATGGATCACTTGATGATTAGCTGTTCTGTTCATTCCCTCTAAAACACCTGGCACTGCACATTGTCGGAAGACAGGATACTGGACTAGATGGTCCTGTGGTCTGACCCAATATAGCCATTATTATGTTTTTATGATCACCAAGGCAGGGAATGGTGTGCAGATGTTGTATTATGTTTACCTGGATATGGGTACCTCTTGTGCTACCTAAAGTAGAGGAATTGTTTTAGCAACCAGTGACCGAGGTACAGGGGACCCCACACTGAGATTGCTCAATTAGAACAAACTGCAAACAATGGGTCTGACAATCCCCCAAAAGGGTGGTTATTCTAATACTTAGATTTAGTAAGCCAGCAAAAAAAACCAGCTTTCACAATACTTTATACTGAAGTCAAAACATCGTTCCCTTAAAGCCACCAAGCCTTTGACTTCCAACCAGACAGCCAAGTCAAGTATGATGATGTTCTCATTGCTAATGTGTACCTTCTGGTGCCTCACTTGCTACACCCCATCATCGATTGGTGAGGAGGAAACAGATCCCGGACAGGCTGCTCCAGCCCTTTACTCATATAAGGACCTAAACATTTTCTCCTGGTGTTCTGCCTTTCAGGGCTAGCTCCATACAGAGATGGCTGGGGACATGGCAGAGGTGCTTAATGGCTTCTTTGTTTTGGTTTTCACCAAGAAGGTTGGTGGCGTTTGGACGCTCAACATAGTGAATGCCAGTGAAACTGGGGTAGTTTCAGATGCTAAAATAGGGAAAGAACAAGTTAAAAATTACTTGGACAAGTTAGCTGTCTTCAAGTCGCCAGGGTCCGATGAAATGCATCATTGAATACTCAAGAAACTGACTGAAGAGATATCTGAGGCATTAGCTATTATCCTTGGAAAGCTATAGAAGACAGGAGAGATTCCAGAAGACTGGAAAAGAGCACATATAGTGCTTATCTGTAAAACGGGAAATAAGGACAACCCAGGCAATTACAGACCAGGCAGTTTAACTTCTGTACCAGGTAAGATAATGGAGCAAATAATTAAGGAATCAATTTGCAAATATCTAGAAGATTAGTAATAGTAGGCATGGATTTGTCAAGAACAAATCATGTCAGACAAGTTTGATAGCTTTCTTTGACAGAGTAACAAGCCTTGTGGATAGTTGGGAATCGGTAGATGTGATATATTTAGATTTTAGTTAGGCTTTTAATACAGTCTTGCATGAGCTTCTCATTAACAAACTAGGCAAATACAACCTAGATGAATCTCCTATAAGGTGGGTGCAAACTGGTTGGCTAACCGTTCCCTGAGAGTAGTTATCAATGGTTCACAGTCAGGCTGGAAGGGCATAACAAGTGGGGTTCTGCAGGGATCAGTTCTGGGTCCGGTTCTTTTCAATGTCTTCATCAACAATTTATATTATGGCATAGAGTACACTTATAAAGTTTGCGGATGATACCAAACTGGGAGGAATTGGAAATGCTTTGGAGGATAGGATGAAAATTCAAAATGATCTGGACAAACTGGAAAAATTGTCTGAGGTAACTAGGGTGAAATTAAATAAAGATAAATGCAAAGTACTCCACTTAGGAACTAACAATCAGATGCACACATACAAAATGGGAAAGGACTGCCTAGGAAGGAGTACTGCGGGAAGGGATCTAGGGGTCATAGTGGACCACAAGGTAAATATGAGTCAAC